GCAAGAATATTGTGGGAGACGGTATCAAAAGCCTTGCTAAAGTCAAGGTATATAACATCCACTGACTTCCCCATGTCCACCGAGCCAGTTACCTCATCATAGAAGCTAATCAGATTGGTCAGGCACGACTTGCCCTTTGTGAATCCATGCTGACTATTCCTAATCACTTTCCTCTCATCCAAGTGCCTCAATATGGATTCCTTAAGAATCCCTTCCATGATTTTTCCAGGAACCGAGGTAAGACTGACCGGCCTATAGTTCCCTGGATCATCCTTCTTCCCTTTTTTGAAGATGGGCAATACATTTGCCTTTTTCCAGTCATCTTGTTCCACGAGAAGTAACGGTAGTTCGAATTAGAAATCCTAATTCGAACTACCTACTCCGTGCCGCGTGTAGCCGCGGGCACAGAGTCCGCACTAACGGGGATTTAAAAACGGCAGCGCCCGGCAAGATGCAAATGAAGCCCGGGATATTTAAATCCCGGGCTTCATTTGCAACTTCGATTGCCTACATTAGCCACTCTAGTTCGAACTAGGGTGGCAGTGTAGACATACCCTGAGGTAGTATGTGAGGCAGGAGAAATGTGATCACAGAGAAACATTTCAGTGGGCCAGATTTTCAGCTGGTCTTGGTCAGCTCAATAAAGCCCAACTGACTTAGATGAGTTATGAAATGGATACTTCACAGTATAAAATTTGTTATATCATTTTTTTTCCATTTAGTGAATTTTGTTCCATGCCTAATACTAATTCATGCTGTGGCAGAGCTCTGACATTGCCTCAGGGGTCCTGTGCTTCTAGGCAGTTAGTCTTTGCCTTAGAGGTTTGCTGTGATCCTCAACACAGCCTCTCTCCCTTTTCAAAGGGTCACAGTCTATTGAGCCACCTACACCATAGGTCAGTCAACGGATTTGGGGTGAAACCTCAAAGTGAAACCCCTCCTTAGTTCCAATCTTCCCTCTTGTCTCAATAGTGGTGTGGAGCGGGTTGGGGGGAATTCGGGCTCACCCTCTGCTCCAAGTTCTGGCTCAGGTACACTAATGGCAGTGGCAACTGGTAGTGTTTCCTCCACCATCAGGGCTGCAGTCCTTCCATGAGCCACTTCCCCAAACAACCCCTCTCATCACCTTCCTCCTGGTACCTGAAAAAAGCACCTTCCTCCTGGTACCTGTGAAAGAGCACATTATTCTGCTCTTCCAGAGCATGCTTCCTCACTCCCAGTCCTTGGCTTCCTTTCTGAAGGGAAGCCTTAAAAACTAGCCCCAAAAGGTGGGTGCAGATGTTCTGATTAGACAGTCTCTGTCCAACTTCTGGCAAGCTGTTAATTGTCTCTAGGATCCTCCTGATTGCTCTGCACCAGCCCCTACCTTTGTCATTCAAGGAATAGAAAACTATTTATCCAGTGACCACTATATTTACCTTCTATCAAACTACTGTAGCCAAATGGCCTGGGTCTGTCACATATCCCTCCCTCCTGCTCAACAACAAGGGTTTGGCACCTTGGGATGTCAGATTGCATACATGATAAATCATCAGCATTGCCATGGTGGCTCCCCACTCTGTTGCACACAGAACTGGAAAGGCTGGAGGAATAAAAACCATCTGGTCATCTTTGAGTTCTTCTCCTTGGTCCACTGCATCATTGGAGAGGGACATGGTCCATCATGAGGACAAATCTGTGCTGAGCAAATAGTACTGCACTGCTTCCATGGCCCATTTAATGGCAAGACACTCTCTCATCCACTGTGTATATTTGTTCCCGAATGCCCTTTGCCATGTCAGACCATCTAACCGGATCAGGATCATGGGCCTTCACTAAATACATTAGGGGACTTGCCTGTGTGGCAAAATGGGGGATGAATTGCAGATAATACTCCCTTAGTCCTAGGAATGCCAAAACTTGCTTCTTGTGTCTCGATTGGGGGTAATGTTGTGGTTTCAGCAGACCTTTTCCCACCATGTAATGAAGATATCTAGCCTCCATGTACCCTATGGTGCATTTGGCAGAGTTCGCCATTAGGCCAACTCGTTTGAAAATATAGATATTTTCTTCAGGTAGCTTTCCAAGTCTGGGGAATGGATAATCACATCATCCAGGTAGGCACCAGCATAACTGGCATGGGGACATAAGAGCATGTCCATGAGGCACTGAAAAATATCTGGGGCCCCAAAGAGTCCAAAAGGAAGGACCGTATATTGGAAAAGATCCTCTGATGAAGAGAATGCCATTTCCTTCTTCATGTCTTTGGCCACGGGGATCTGCCAGTACCCTGTTGTCAGGTCTAGGGTTGTCAAGTACCACTCATTGCCTAGACGGTCCACTAGTTTGTCTATGCAGAGGATGGGACTGAACTGAACTGGGATATTTCGTTTAGTTGACAGAAATCATTGAAGAACTGTGTGATACCATCAGTTTTGGGCACCAACAATATCAGGATGGACCACTGACTTTGGGAATCTTCAATTATTCCTATCACCAGCCTTTTTTCCACTTCTGCTTTTATTTCTTCCCTTTTGGCTGCTGGTACTTGGTAGGGCTTCATTGTTACTCCTGCCCCAGGGTTTGTGATGATGTGATGATATGCCTCAGACGTCCAACCCACTTTGGTTCTGGACGATCATCTAGGATATCTCCTTCTTCTAGTTAAATCAGGAAATAACTTCACCTCACCTGTACAGCGGGTTTGTTCACTGGGGGCAGGTTTCCTCGGACAGTGGTACAGGCCTCCCAAGATTTCCCAGGGTTTCAGAAGGTTGTTATGGTATATTTGCTCTTGTTTCCAGCATCCTGGTTGCTGCACTTTGTAATTTACCTCCCCTATGGGTTCAATTATTTTGTAGGGTCCTTGCAATTTACTATTTACTGTGGACACTGGTACCATTACTTAATCTCCGGGTTGGAACCACCGAACACCAAACTTTGGCTTGATGATTGTAGTAAGCTTGCTGGGCTTCTTGGGAATCCTCTAGATGTTCCCTCACTTGGGAGTGATCCAGAGCATTCGGTTCTTCATTTGTAACACATGCTCGATTACGTTCTTCTCCTCACTAGGTTCCTCCTCCCAAATTTCCTTCTGTATGTCCAAGAAACCCCAGGGGTGATGTTCATGAAATAGTTTGAAGGGGGAGAATCCAGTGGATGTCTGGAGAACCTCAAGAAAAGTGAACATGAAGCAAGGTAACAGAGCGTCCCAATCTTTCCCATTTTTGCTTAACATATCTCTTTACCATGGCCTTGAGGGTCTGGTGAATCTTTCTACCAGGACAACAATCTGTAGATGGTAAAGCTAGATATACAGGGCCTGAACATGGAACAGGGAATACAGGTTCATTAGCTTGGACATGAACGGGATCCCCGAGTCTGTTGGGGATTTCTTTTGGTAGCCTTACCCATGCAAGATTGTCATTAATTCTTTGGCAATAGTCTTGAACACTGTTTCATAGAGGGATAACTTCTAGATACCTGGTTGCATAATCTAGGATAATGACCACATACTGGTGGCCTCAGGCCATCTTCTCTAATGATCCCACCAGGTCCATGGACATACATTGAAACAGAACCTCAAAGATCCGCAGGAGTACCAAAGGGGCTCTTAGATGGGGATGAAGGATGTGCAATTGACTTGGAGTACAGGAGGCGGAGTACTGCTGGACATCTTCATGTACCCCCTGGCAGAAGAATCGGCACAAGATTCATATCTGGGTTTTCTTCACCCCCAGATGTCCTCCAAAAAGGTTTAAGATTGCCCTCCAGTGTTTTTGGGGTACTAGGAACTGGTGTACTTCTCGCTTCTGCATGTATATGACCCGGTATAGGAGGTCCTTCTTGATTATAAAGTACAACCCTGGACCTCGAGCTTTTCCCACTATGGTTACCCCATCAAGGCCACTTCCTTCCTTACATTCTCATACCTGGGGTCTTTTACTTAGTCTTAACCAAAAGTCATCCCCCAGGACTTACCAGCCCTAACTCTAAGGGCTCTACTTCTGCCGTCCTGGCTGGCTCTATGGGGTTGGAGTTGGAACTGATTTCTGAACCCTCTGGCGCCTCAGGGTCCTCCCCTTCCATAGCCTGTATCGGTCCACCTTTATATGCGGCCCTCTGTGCCTGCAGCAAGATTCAGGCATCCAGAGCCTTGGCCTTAACTTCTTTCCTCTTGGTCTTCCTGCCTCTCCCAGGGGCAGGGAATAGCTCCTGGGATACTTCTGCAAACAATGGAGGAGACCATTTTTCTGTGGGGCCTCCCTCAGTTCAGGGAGCTCTCTCCTTCCACCCCTCCAGTGGGGGTAAGCTTCCAAACTCAGGGAAATCTCTTCTGATGAGCATAAGATATGGGAGGTATGGGACCTCTCCTGCTTTCACCCTAGTGATGTTTCCCAGAATTTCTATTTTCACTGATATGATGGGGTAATAGTTAACAGTCCTACAGACACAGATAACCCCATGTACATTTAGCCTGCATTACCTGGCTGGACTTTACTATTTACTTGAGATCAGAATGATAATGCTCCTGGAATCCACAAGCATCATAATTTCTACCCCATCTACTTTTACTGGCCTTGTATAATTACTTGGGATGACTGTAACCCTTGCCAGGTTGAGTAGGAAGCATAGGTCACACCAATCCCCAATATTACACTGTATGGGCTCTTCGAGGTTCTTGGCATTGAGCCACTACGTGGCACAACTTCCCACACTCATAACACCTATAGTTGCTTCTCCTGTTCTGTGGATTAGGAGGTTTAGCTTTGGGGTCCCCTTAACTACTACCGTTCTTGGGTTCCCAGCTGGTTTTTGGCCCCCATCTTCTTCTGCTTAGTGCTCTTCAAGTGTTTGGATACCTGAACTCCTGGAGTTGGTGTAGGTTGCCTGCCCCCCCTACAGGGCCTTCCTTGGGCAGGCGGATCAACTTACTGACCACCAATTGTCTCTCCATCAATGCAATTATTTCATCGTAGGAGTTGCAGAGGCAGCACCTGTGAGTGCAAGCAGCACACGCTGTGCAGAGCTGCCTGGTCCTTGTGCCTAGAGGTCAGACATGGTGGCTGTTTCACGAAGCCAGAGTGGGCAGGCAGTGAGCTTGCCTCAGCCCCTCTGTGCCACTGATTGGGAGCCACCTGAAGTAAACACCACCCAGCTAGAGCCCATACCCCAAGCCCCCTCTGACACCTCAACCCCCCCACTCTAGGTCAGAACCCCCTCTGACATCCTAAATCCCTTTCATATCCCATAGGATATGTCTACACTACAAAGTTAATTCGAACTAACAGACGTTAGTTCGAATTAACTTTGATAGGCGCTACACATACAAACCGCTAGTTCAAACTTAATTCGAACTAGCGGAGTGCTTAATTAGAACTAGGTAAACCTCATTCTACAAGGACTAATGCCTAGTTCGAATTAACTAGTTCGAATTAAGGGCTGTGTAGCCACTTAATTCGAACTAGTGGGAGGCTAGCCCTCCCCAGCTTTCCCTGGCGGCCACTCTGGGCACCACCAGGGAAACTCTTCTGCCCCCCTCCCGGCCCCGGACGCCTTAAAGGGGCACGGGCTGGCTACGGTGCCT